GAAAGTGACATAAGGGCTTTCATAATTTTCTTGGGTTTGGGGCTGGTTTCTGTTTCTTACATAAATGCAAGTGTGTCTGGTAAATTTTCCTAGTAGTCAGTTGCCTGTATTTATCACCCTCTGACTCATCTGAGGAATGCAGATTTTTCATGCAGTGTGAACACTTGGGGGATGCTGGTTTTTCCACCCAGTCTCAGAAGCTCAGGCTCATGCAGTGTCTGTCATCATGTCAGCCATTTCCTGGGCTGCATCAGCAGCACCGTGGGCAGCAGGTGAAGGAGGGGATTCAGCCCCTCTGCTCTGCAGTGCTGAGACCCCACCTGCAGAGCTGAGTCCAGCACAGGGGGCTCCAGCACAGGAAGGACATCACAGAATTCACAGAATTCACAGTATTCATAGAATTCACAGAATTCACAGAATCACTAGGTTGGAAGAGACCTTCAAAATCGAATCCAACCCAGCCCCAACACCTCAACTAAACCATGGCACCATGAGTGCCACATCCAGTCTTTGTTAAACACATCCAGGGTTGGTGATCCCCACCACCTCCTGGGCAGACAATTCCAGTATTTTATCACTCTTTCAGTAAAAAAAATTTTCATGATATCCAACCTATATTTCCCTTGGCACAGCTTAAGACTGTGTCCTCTGGTTCTGTCGGCTGCTGCCTGGAGAAAGAGACCGACCCCACCTGCTCCTGCTGGCCACACTGTTCTTGACACAGGCCAGGATGTCTTTGGCCTTCTTTGCCACCAGGACACACACATCGACCTTGAAGAGAGCCCAGAGGAGGCCACCAAGATGATCCATGGGGATGGAGAACCTCTGCTGTGAGGAAAGGCTGAAAGAACTGGGATTGTTCAGCCTGGAGAGGAGAAGGCTTTGGGGTGACCTAATTGTGGCCTTCCAGTACCTGAAGGGAGCTGACAAGAAAGATGGAGCAAGACTCTTAACAAGAGCCTGGAGTGACAGGACAAGGGGAATGGGTTCAAACTGACAGACAGTAGGTTTAGATTAGATATAAAGGAGAAACCCTTTACAGTGGGAGTGGTAAGATACTGGGACAAGTTGTCACAGAAGCTGTGGCTGCCCAATCCCTGGAAGTGTTCAAGGTAATGCTGCACTGGACTCTGAGCAACCTGGTCCAGTGAAAGTTCTCCCTGACCATGACAGGAGGGTTGGGATGAGATGATCTTCGAGGTCCCCTTCCAACCCAAACCATTCTGTGATCATCTCACTTCAAGATCTTTCCCCAGATGTTTCTACAAAGATCTCCTCTCTAATCTGTACCCTGCTCACTCACACTTCACCACCACCCCCCACGGGAGCTTTTAGAGCATAAAGCACTTACAGAGGGCAGCAGTGCATAAAGGGCTTTTATAGGATATTGTCTTTTTGCAGGCTATAAACAGTGGGAAATTCTGTAAATACACTGAGCTATTGGCTTTAAACTGCAATGCTCAGGCCAACACTCACATCACTGTGGTTACCCAGGAGGAGAGCTTGGGGGGTTCGGAGTGTTTGCTTGGGGAAAAGCTGCTGGAATGCTCCAGGCAGTGGTGTGAGGCTACACAACAAACCTGCAGTCCCCAGATAGTCAGTTCATTCAACGTGGTGGCTTTACAGTGGTACCAGCTGATCATCCAACAGATTCATGCAAATACAGGCAATGGAACTTTCATTAAATTACCAACAGCAATGACTAACTTGATGCAAGATTTGCTGGCTAAGTTTGCAGCACAGACTCAGCTGCCTGCCTCAGAGGATGTGAAAGGGCAGGGAAATGGCTCCTTTCCAGGTGCATCAACAACTGTAGCAGAGACTATAACCTTCAGAGGTTTCCTGTGAAGTGAATACAAGCTAATACTGGGACACCGAGCATCAGTTAGTCCTCTGTAAGCAGAATTTCACTGCAGCTCATGTTGCTGCCCTGTACAAGCTGTTTTTGCCATAATTTATTTTGGATTGTAGCCATAGGTTTTTGCTATCAAGTCATTAATTTATTCATATGAGATGAACAAGAGTGATGGACAGTGATCCACTTACTTAACCATTTGCAGCCCTATTACAGTGAGAGTACTGCATGAATTGGTAACAGCTGTTGAGAGAGCTTTCATAATTTTGAGTCAGAAGATGGCTGCTCACAACCTACATGTTCTTTTTCTGTCTCCTCAGGGGAATTTACTTTAGAAACTGTTTCTCACAGTTGGTTTGCAGCCTTTGCTGATTATTTCCTTTCTGCTGTCTGAGCAAGCGTAAGGTTTCAGAGGGCTTGAGTGAATTCACCACCTGAAAAGAGGCTTGAGCTAGCACTGGTTGATCAGATGAAAGGGAAGTATAAGAAAAAAGCAGAGAGGGTGGTAAAACCTCAGCAGCAATTGCCTTCATTAACTGTTCATGGGAACTAGTACAGCCTTGGCTTGTCCTGCAGGGATATTCACTTATGCCCTGGCTCCATGGCATTGCAGGGTAGAAAACCCTTTGGTCTATAGAGGAAAAGAGTCTGTGATATGAAATTGGACAATGTCTGTGCCAAAGTGCCTTGCTGTTTACACTGGTGCTGACAGCTGCATTTTGGCCTGTTAACTGCAAGATTACAGCAATTGCCTTGTTCCAGCTCTTCCCTATGCCATTTCTGCACCCAGGAAAATTCCACCTGAATTTTATGAGTGTCCTACATCATTCAGAGAGAATCTTACATAGCAACAGTGCAGATTCCAGATTTTTGCACAGCCATATAAAAAGACAAAACCAACACAGGAAGTATTTATGCTCCAAAGATGACTTGGCCAAACACATCTCTGCAATTTGTCTGCTCTGAAGGTCAAAAAACTTAGGCTGAATGGTATTTGCATATTTTCTGGCCCTAAACCCAGTTGACCTACAAGTGTAAAACAAAATCAACCAAGGAGTTACTTGCAGGACACTTTGCTTTATAGATTGTTTCCAGAATAAGAAAACATTTCTTCCAAGGGAGACAGATGGTCTGATTCTCCCTTCATTGGCCTTCCCTTCGTCTATCCCTTCCTCCAGCTATGATAATTATTTGCAAGGTGGCTCAGTATTTTAGGGTGTAGTGAGGTGGTTTTTTTGGCCATGTCCCTCATTTATGAACAATGAAAATTAAATATAGGTCAAATGCAAGGCTTTTTTTTACAGGACAAATATACAAAAATTGACTCACATATGCCAAAAAATCTAGAACAGAGCAGCTCATAAATTTATTTCATTTTAGAATTTAACATAAAAATCATTAAGCAGAAGGAGAAAATATTATTAGAGAGGTCTAAAACAGTCTGATTTGTCAGTCCAGACGTGGCTACTGCCCTGGTCTGTTTGTAGTGACAGGGGAAATTGCAGCAGAACCATGTTTGTGAGATGAGCACCGCAGTGGTTGGAGCTGGGGTGAAGCCCTCGTGCCTCTCCCTGAGCTTGCATTGGGCACAAGCACTTAAAACATTGGCAAAAACATCACGGGAGATGGAGATTGAGAGGAAATTTTCAGAGATTGGAGACGGAAGGAATGAGAAGTGAAGCTGGGGCAGCAGCAACTGGTAGAAGAAATGGACAGAGAGAAATCAGTGGTAGCTCTCTGGGCAGAAAGTCACCACTTTGCCAGGCAGAAGAGTACCAGAGCAGAGGGAGGGAATGGGGTCTGCAGGGGTGCAGAATGGGATTGGAAAGCCTTTGTCATCTTTCAGCAAGTCTTTCGACAATTTTCCACTCCACTGTGATTAATTTTGCTGTTAGTCTGGGCTGGTTTGTGTGTGGTGAATGTAAATGAGACCAGTAGGTTGTTAAGGTCTGTACCAAATGCAAAACTGAATGTCTGATTCATGACAAGTAACTGCTCTGGCTTGTCTTTGTGCAACTGATGCTGTTTTACACGGTCAGGCATGAGGATCGTGATCCTGCCAACGTTTACAACTGCAGCATCTTAATGTGTGCTCCTAAATTCCTTTGAGCACACATAACTATGTGTTCAGACACTTGGCTCTGCATTCTACAAGAAACCCATTGAAACATGAAAATAATATAAGCAGTTAACATCAACTTGCTAGGAGCACTCCAAAATAGAGCAGTATCCTTAGGAAAAGTGCCATAACAAGACTTGAACATTTTTTTGTTTGTTCAAAAATACCTTGTATTTCACAGGCAGCTTTTTTCGTCAGTTTTTGGTGGTTTTTATCATTTCTAATTTAGTGTAACCCACCATCTGGGAACTGAAAGGCAGAAAATCCCCACCCAGCAGGGAAAGTCTTACAAGACTTTGAAGAGGAAGACCTGTTTGCAGATGGGTTGGTTTCCTACCATTATGGTGATCAGGCACAGTAGCACTTTTTTTGTAGCCTGAAACTTGGATTTCATTTGCCCATATTTACTTTTGGCAAGTAGGGAGCAGAGAAGGAACCGGGGGTATGAGAGATGAGACCCAGTCATACCAAGTTCTTGCTTGAATACGTCACCTGAGCATGGCCCCATTCCAGGTCCTCTCCAAAGCCCCCTTCCAGTTTCCAAGAAAAGCTGAGGGCAGTGGGAGCCAGAGCTGCCCAGCACCCCAGAGGGTCACAGCCTTTAAATGTAAGGGTAACTACAGTGGATGGGAGAGTGAGGTTATTGAGGAATTAACTAACTGCTTATTTCAGATGACTACCTATGGGAAGACAAAGAAAATATTGCATAAGAAGGGAAGGAAAACATCCTGGGCTGAGGCCATAAGTGACCTTTGAATTTAACTCCTAATTGCTTCCATTAGTTGAAACAGTTATTTTAATAATCCAACAACTGGCTTTTCTTGCCCTCAGCAGGACATTTGTCATTTGAACAGGTAAATTTTTCGCACTGAGGCAGAGATCAGACTTCAGGAGACTTTGTAATACACAGAAGGAGGAATTTTTCAGGCAGAGGTCCAGCTAATAGCAATGATTGCAAGCAGTGGCATTTGGCTGCAAAAGTGAGTGTCCTTGAAGCTCACCTGTATCCCACTGCCCTTAGGACTCAAACTAATTTGTTTCTTATGTTTGTATTTCACTGCAATCCATTTCACTCTTGTATCCTAGATTTAAGAAAATATTAATGTTCAGACCATAACTGATTGTGCATGGCTTGCTATTTTAGCAGGATTTAATATAATTAACTTTTGAAAAAAACTGAAAAACTGTCACTTATTCTTTCATATGTTTTAGGAACACAATGATTTATTAATAAACACAGAATTACAATTTCTGAGTTCAAGTTGAAAAGCCCTCATACAAGTGCAGCTGGTCAGGGAATGCCACTGCAACTGACTGAATAAGGAAAGATTCCTGATGTTTTAAGAACAAACTTGTCAATGCATAGAAAATTAATGGTGAATGAAAATGCACCTCTCAAAGACTCTTCTTATGATAAATATGCTGTCTCCATGTGATCCCTTGCAATTCTTCTTTGCCCACTTTATAAGATTATAAAAGCCTGATCACATTTCCATTAAAATCAAGGGCAAATATTTCAGTGCTCTTTGCACAGGATGAGACCCATATAATATTTTAGTAGCAATATTTACTCCACAGAAGATGTTTCTTTGGATATACTTATGTTCTGTTATGGTTTAATAGGTGTGTTTCAGACAGAATTCTGTGGATTTGAATATGGCTCTTCTGAGGGAAAGAACTGGAAAATTCCCCACCAAGAGTTGATCTTTGCCAACATTTGTTGTTAACTGATATTAATAAGTAGGAACTGGTAGGCTGTCTTCCTTAAGTAGCATTCATAGCCTGAATAGCATTTTAAAATGCTGTAAAGGGAGAACACACACCCTGTCTGGCAAGCTGAGGTGTAAAATATGCTACATGCAACCAGATGGCTGCACAAAGCTGACTGAATTGCAGGAGACCACAGCTTTCTTCTGTGGCTGCAAGAACGTGCCAGGAGGGTCTTGTGCTGTGCAGGAGCTACTGCAGGGCTTGGCTGTGGAGTTTAAAGTCACAAAGCAGACAACTGGGATGAATGGAAAACATGGCATACTAAACTGTGGCTTTTTCAAGGGTTTTTGCACTTGCTTTTTCATAATTTTTTTCCTATGCTGCTGGCTTTAGTACTTTTTTTTTCCTCTCTTGCTAGTATTAAAAGTTTTGGTTCCCTTTTTTTGTTTGTGTTTAAGAACCTGCTACCTGTAATGTGCACCCAGAGGTACTGTGCTGTGTATGGGAGTCTTGTGCACATCAGAAACTTCACCCACAGCTATTCAATAACTGAGAATGAAGTGACCATCACTTTCTCAAAACCTGTTTCACCTCAAAGAGGAACAGCTGAGCAATAGTGCCAAAGGCTGTTTGCATCTAAGAGTGCTTCAGAAAGCACCCATTAAACTATTCAGCAACAGCTTTTTTCAGCCCTTAACACCGGAAATGTCAGTCTTGGAAACACAGAACCTCTTCTTGTATGGCTCCCTGCACGTGAGCCTGAAGATGTGAAAGTGAGGGTGTCCAAAGCAGCAGTGACTCACACCAGGTGTGGGACTTGAACTGAATCTGTCCTTGTCACCCCCTCTGCAGCTGGGCTGCTTCTCAGAAGCCCAGGTGGTTCCTTTTCAGTTCCTCACTTTCCTTCTTTTCAGCTGCATGTGCTCTCTCTTGCAGAGGATGTTTAAGGCTTATGTTGGAAGCCTGGAATGTGTTGGTGTACAAAGGAGTGTTCCTCTCGTAAGGAACTAACTTTGCCAGCCACCCTTTTCCAGCTCCCCTTGTTCCAGGGACTGGACAGGCAGCCAGGACAAGCTGCCTCCTAATAGCAAGCATTATGCTAGAATACTTTATTGTTTAATAGCACTAAGCTTTATGGGTATGAATTGGCTCCCAAAAGCAAACGACAGCTTCCACTCTTCAGCAGTCATGGCAAATAATAAGAGGATAAAGGCAGTTAATTGAGGGTAAATCGCCTCACACAGACAAAGAAAACAGATTTCTACTAAATAACCAGCACATGGAGGGCAATGAAAACTTCCCTAAGGTAAAACTTGACTCTTTTATTCTACCACAGAGCCAAAATCATTCCCAAGAAGCAAAGGGACCTGCATTAGTGTAGCTGAAATTCAGAAGCTGGGCTGTCCTTCCCAGACTCCAAACAGAAAAACAGATTCAGTCTTTAGACTTTGCTTTTAATGCCTCCCACTTGCTTCAGAGTTAGAAATTTTCTTTGTTAAAAATGAAGTGTACTCCTCGTGGATCAGCTTCTGAGTTGCTGATGCTCTGCTTGTTGAGTGTGTCAGCCAGGCCCTCAGGGCCACAGAGAAAAACACCTATTCTGGAGCTGTTAAGAAAATGAAAATATGGTCAGAAACTAGGTATGGAGCAGCTGGATATTCTCCATGTAAATAATTTTTATGTTCTATAGATGCAAGGTTTTTTCCCAATTACAGGAATTGAAGTAGAACTGGACATCCATCCCCTAAACCTTATAACCCTTTCAAACTTATTGCTGCTTGTAAAGCAAATGTTGGGCTAAATCTCAGCTCAGACTTAGTCAGTGAAGACAGGTTTATTGACCTCACTGAATCAAAGAAATAGAGATTCAAAGAGCTTATGGCACAAATTCTTGAGAGGAGTTTTCTGGTTTTTTCCTGCAAATTTTGGGTGGCTAGCTAAAGATTATCCATATTCAGGTTTGGTTTCTAGAGGTAGAAAGTGGTTTTGGAGGTCTTTAGACACCACCTAATATTCCTATTTATTTCAGCTAGAAGAATAGGAAGAATAGATTCATTTTTTCCTAAATCTTCTGCTAGTAATTAGACAATCCAAGAAATATCTTGTGGAAAAGGAATGATTTTTTAAAAAATTGTAGGCCAAAATAATTTGTTCAAGATCATAGATCATGTCCATGGCTGAAAAAAAGAATAAAAAATACCTGAAGATAGGTAGCAGAAAAAAAATGCTCCTCAAACTTTATCAGCCAAAGGAAGAAGAATGTGCTGTATGGTGTGTATGGCCATTAAATAGAGGAAGTCCACAGACAGTATAAATTTGCAAAGGTTTACCCAGGATGCTTTCCTGCAATCGTTTTGAACTCATTTTCCCAGTTAGGTCTTCCATACAAGGTTTTCTGTTTCAGTCCTGTAATCACATCCTTCTCTTCTTCATGATGCACTACGAAGTGAGTGGCCTGTGGGAAATGAAAGACAAGGGACAGATAAATACAGCAGCATTGTGTTCTGGTTAAAAAAATTAAAAAAAAAAAGTCAATACTGACGGAATTATTTCCCTAATGAGATGATGGAATTTATGGTGTTTTGCAAGGAAAGCTAAGACTGATAAAATCCTGTCTATCAGTGTCTACCCCTTCCTTTGCACCAGACTGGGTGATCTCAAGAGTTAAAGCTATGAAACACTGACACAGCAATTAATTGTAGGGTTTTTTTCAATGAACAGGTTTAGTCTAAGAACTCTAACATGGGACTGCAAATTACAAAATCCTTTCCCTTCGAATACAATAGCATGACTCCCTTGACCATAATGAAATCCTGCCAGTTTGTTCTCTGGAAGGTTTGATCCACATGAGGAGGTCTTGCTTGTGTAACTTCCAGCTAGACCAGCCAAGTCAAGAAAAGCAAGGAAGAGAAGATGTGGTTAAAGGCACAAACTCAGGCCTTACAGAGTTCTGTAGCCCTTTTATAAGAGACAAAAAAAGCTGCAGGTAACTTTATCCCCAAGGAAAAAAATGTGGGACTTTTCTTCTTTCCTTTTTCTTTTTTTGATATTGCATATGTGATAACTTCCTTGCTGCGCCCCCTCCCTGTCTATCTAGCTGAGCTTTGGGCACATGGTGAATTTTGCAATGGTGAGATAAATGTAATATAAAACATCACTAAAATAACAGAGTGAGAGCCTTTCCTGACCCAATCCCACATTTTCAAGTGTCTGCTCCTTTGCATCCCCACAGCAACCTACCAGCACAGGACCAGAGAGCTCATGAGTCCTGAAACAAATATGCTGCTGCAGTTCAAGCTTTGTGAATTGACTTACCTGGTTCCTAAAGCTCTTAATTACATGCTTTAGGCAGCTTCAGCTGTTTTAGAGACTTGTACATGGTCAGCTGAGGCTCCTCCTGTGAAAAAAGCCTGCTTCCCACAGAGCACAGCCAGAGGAAACCAGAAAGGAAATCGGTGCACATGAACAGCTGATCTCATGTAAATTCTGATGGATAACACCCGTCTGCACTCAAAACCTCTGGGAGACAGATGGATGCCCAGGATAAAAGACCATTTGAATAGTTATGAGAACAAATTTTCTAACATTAACCTCAGTTTTATACTGGGCAGTGATATCCCCCAGTATGTTGTTACCTGAGTTTCATCCCAGCCTGTAAGGTAGATGTTATAGCTCAGAAACTCTGCGTTATTCCTCTCCTGCATTTGAGCCTCCAGAGATTGCAAGAGGTCAGCAAACCATTCAAAGGCATGAGTGTCCCTGCAAAGCCAGTAGAAATAAATCTGGAAGAGAAAAGAATGAGCTGTCAGGGGATACAGGCACTTTTGTTTTCCAGGTTTATGTCTGCTGACAGAGTAAGGATTATAGAGTTCTGGTAAAAAATGTCCTGAACACTTCAGTAGATGGTTAGGATGGTATTAAAGCTATTCAGGAATACTGATACTGAGAGGGTTATAAAACTGAATGACTGACTGCAAGAACAAGGAAATATCTTCTTGTTTCTCTTACACATTTTTAGTTTGCAATGTTTCCCTACTTATCTCCTTGTAAAACAGTTTGTTAGGACACAAATAAATGATTTAGCGGTGAACTCTCTTTCTGTCTGCTGGCAGGCAAGGTAAAGTAGGTAAAAAAACCAGTTCTGTTCTCTGAATATGACCACAACTGCAAAGTGTGACCCCACACCTCTGCACAGGGAGTTTCCAGGGGCAAGAGGGGAGAGGAGGATGCTTCCATTGCTCTTCTACTTATGAAAAGCCTTTCTCTTTGTGCTGGGGGAAGGAATGCAATATGTGCCAGCCTGTAATAGCACCTTGAACTTTGTGTTTCTCAGGTAGATGAACACCATTTCCACTGCAACTGGAAATCCCCAGGTCCACAGTCAGGACTAGCATGTGTGATTTGGCTTGTAGGCTATTTGTCCTTTCATTATATTTTAGATCCTCATGTTTTCCTCCTGCTAATCTTGAGAGGCAACAGGACTCTTCCTTCTTTTAGGACTCATGCATGCCTGGAGCCAGATCACCTTTGCTGTGCCTGCTTTGATTTGGGCCCTTGGCCCTTGAACAGTTACAGGGGCCTGGGAAAGAGGACACAATACCTTCTTGAGCTTTAGGTTGGTGGCATCATGGCAGTATTTGTACCAGACAGACTTGAGGACAGATGCAAAGGGGGTGACCCCTATTCCAGCTCCAACCAGCATCACAGTTTCATAACTGAACACATCCTCACTCGCTGTTCCAAAGGGGCCATCCACAGCTATCCTGGAGTTGAAAGTATGCTTATTAAACCAGCAGTGAATATTTATTAACACCATTTAAAATGACAGTTAAAAAGTATTTGTCTGCTACAATGCATATTTGGACTAAATACAGAGGAGAGCAAAAGGAGAGCAAAAGGAGAGGTGGAGTTGATAGAAAAAACTCTAAAGAGGCACCAAAGACCCACATCTGTGTCACCATTTAATGTTTGTATCACTGGCACCATCAAATTGCTTGAGCAATATTTAAACAGCCATAGGTGTTTTTTGACTTTACCATGGAGACTCTTTGTACATACTTGGGCAATTTCCATGCCTCCTGGAATTCTTGTTTATCACAGCCACAGGCATTGAACAAGCCCTCTGTCCAGTCTCCTACGATACGGACGTGAATGCTGAAGTAATCCTCTTCTGGAGCAGAAGTCAGTGTAAATGGATGCCATTCCAGTTTAGATACTGCTGGACATTTGACAAAAATGTATTGTCCAACCTCCATCTTGAAGCCTTTTTTCATCATCTGGAGCTCAATTGTCTTGAAGGGATGAATGACCACCTACAGTGAGAAGGGCGATGGGAAAAATAAGGAAAATAAAATGTCTGTTTTCACTGATGTATCTCACTGATGTATTCACATCCATCATCACTAAGAAAATTTCTGCCATGAGAGAAAGGAAAGCAGGTGAAACTTTCTTCCCAGCAGAGCTGAGAGTGAGCAACAGCACCTGACAGGCAGATGAAAGCCTGCAGATGATGCTGATGTTTTGGTTGAAGTATTTCTCACACCACACTTGCAGCCACTCCAAAGGGCACAGGCCAGGCTGGCACAACTTGTAACACACCACCAGATCTGTGTGTGCACATTGTCAGTTCCAGATGGTCCTTTCCCAGCAGCACAGAGCACAGAGTTAATGGGCCTGACTGTATGTATATAGGGGAAAAAACACAGGGCTGTCCTACAGATATTGGATAGGTAATACCTCAGGAAATGGATGTTTTCTTGTTTTAGTCGGGTGGGACCTTGGCTATTCTTTGGAAACAATCTTCTAGAACTAAAACCAGTAATTCTGTCACTCTAATTTTTAATCCAAAAGTTGTCTGCCAAAGTTATTTTCATTTTTCAAAAGAGATTTGCAAGAGGGAGAATCAAGTCTCTCTGTGTGTTAATTTAGGTACTAAGTGGTGTTTAGGATTGTGAAGGAAATTTTCTGCCAACAGGGCACAAAAGAGACACCATATAAATATAGTGTAGAAGCGGCCCACAGGATATTTTGGCAAAATTATCAAAAGCACACAAATATTTAAGAGCCTTCCAACATGTCAGCATCATTATAGAGCATGGTAAAAACACCTAATGTCATCCCCAATGATTTGAACAGGGTGTGTCCTCAGGATGCAGTGCCATGTGAGGAAATTATGCTGGGAAAGGCCAGGATAATTTTCATAAGTTTGAGCTTAGTTCTGTGCTAATTCAGCTATTGGAATTTCAGGATCAGTGTTAATATCTCTGCAACACACCATGGGAATGGAAGCTCAACATTAGATTCGGATATGTAAGATAAACATGCTCTAAATTGCTTTCAGGGGTCATTTGTTCTGTGTCTTAAATTAGTCTCAAGTCTGTAGAATTTCTGCACTGTGGAATTTTTCACCCAATACAAAGAAAATTCATTTCTTTCCTAAGATTCAGTCCTCTCAGTGCCTTAGCTAACTTCCTCCTCTTACTCACTTTTAGAGGCCACATTTTGGTGTTAGATGTTGGCATCATGACAGCAGTCAGAACATTCCTCCCACTGATAACCTGGGTGTGTAGGAGCCTCTGCCTTTGCTGCACCATTTGGAGAAGAGGGTGATGCTTTGCCTGGTGTTAAGTGCAGCATCAGCACTTACCTTTGTGATAACAACCTTCTGCTGTGACCTCCAAAACCGCACCAGCCGCTCGCACAGGTACAGAAACATGGGACCTACCACCCACTTCCATGTCTGTGAGCAGAAAAAAAACAAGTCAGATGATTAAAATCACAGAATCATAGATAGGTTTGGGTTGGAAGAGATCTTAGTGATCATCGAGCTCCAACCCCCCTGCTGTGGACAGGGACACCTTCCACTAGACAAGATGGCATTTGATTTTAGATCAAATCAAATCCTGGAAATTCTATAAGCAGAGGTGAAGTTCAAGTAATCTGTGTCCTTTATTAATCAGATTAGGGAATCCTTAAGATATATGACAGCTTCAAAATTATGGTCAGAGGGGGAATTTCTTTCTTTGTTGAGTGTTGCAGCTGGCTTTTTAGTTTTTACTAGAGTTACAGCAAGGTATTTTCCTGCAAGTAATTTTGTCTCTGTCTAAAAAAGAATGTAACGAAGAGAAGTGTGGTATTAAGGTATTATTGACTCAGGTCTGTATTACTACAGGAAAAGATGTGGTGTCTGTTAACAGATCATTCTGAAATGTGAAAGAAAAACAGCCTGGTTAGTCAATAAAAGCTGAAGTTTCAAATTCACATTTCCAGGGGTGTTATTTTCTTGCTAACGAACATCAGTCCATTAATAATGTTAAACTATTTATTATGAGTATTATAGCACTTTCTAGATATCCCCAGGAGCCATTACTTTGCAGTTTACTTTTTGGATAAAAAGTTATCAGATACCAATTGCTCTTCTGCTTTGTCTGTCAACTGTGTTTATTTTGTAGCACACTGGAAGTGTGTAGTTTGTCTGGAGTCCATTTCTGCTTACAACCCACTGTGCCCAAATCTCTTGCTTCAAGCAAAGAAAGCTGCCACTGAAGAGTCCTGAGGGTTATGTGGTTGGTTTTCTATGCAATTTAAGGAAAAAAAGAAAAATGTAAGCATTTCCAATTGGATTTACACAGAAGGCAGCTGTTCTTACCATAGGAGGATTCCCTGAAAACTGGGGGATTGGACAAGCCTCAGTCTTGCCCCAGAGGGTGAAGTTCTTGTAGCAAATCTCTGGGTTGTGTTCAGCCAGGCTTTCAGCTGTCTGTCCCCGCACAATACGACTGGGAAAAAAGTAAAGAGCATGAAGGCAATGAAATTAAAATGAAAGTATCTGTTCCTTATTGTTATTCTATTTATGTACTACTATATTTATGTGGAGTTGTCAATTTCTGCAATGCTACAGCTTTGATACAGATTTACTGCTCTAATCTAACCACAAAGTTACCATTAAAGAAACAAAAATGGGGAGGGAAGTTTGTGGGATAAAATCCCGATTTCAAGGTTAGGTGAGGAACTGAGAGTTATGTCCATTACCACTTCCAGGATGTGGTCACAATTAGAAAGCTCCGTTCTTTTCTGAGTTATCCTACTTTCTTTCTTCAATTAAAAAAAAAAACCAAACAAAAAACCAAAAAAAAAAAAAAAAAAAAAAAAAAAAAAAAAAACCTCACAAAAAGAAAAAAAAACAAACAAAAAACCCAAAACCTGGAATGGACAAGTAATCAATCTGCTACTGACCACTACAGAGATTATTTCTGCTGTTTATTTTAGACAGTTGGAGTTCCCTTTCCAACACACATTCTTCCTTTGGCCCTTCCTCTCTCTCTAATGCTGTGGAGCAGCTGTTCAGGTACTACAAATGAATACAGATGCCTTTGACACAAGCAGCTATTGCAGCTATAGCAGCTTGCATCTGCCAATATTCTTGCTTGGTTGTTTTTTTGTTTATTTCTTTGTTTGGATTTTTTGTTGTGTTTTTTTTTTGGGGGGGGGGGGGGGGTTGGTTTTGGTTTTTTTTTTTTTTTTTTTTTTTTTTTAATACAGAATCCTAACTGACCCAGTACAACTGTATTCCCAGTACAACTGTATTTCCAGTAGCAGAACTGGCGCAGAGAGGTAATTTCAGTTTCAAGGGGCAAAAAGCTATTCTTCTTCACTATTTCCTGCCTCTGTCTGGAGTTCTGCCAACCTCAGGATCTTAGTAAAAAATTTCAGATTAAGGTCTGTTGAATTTTCCCTAGAAACTGTCTGCTTCTGATCAGGCTGGTCAGTTTCATGCCGATGTGATTCTTTGATACCTTCTCCCCATGAATTCTCTTTCTGCTTTTCTAGCTCAGTACCTGTGAACTAGACAACATTTCTGATGTTGTCTAGTTCACAGGTTCTGTCCCCATGGTATCTAAGCCATATGCATGCCTAACTTTGTGTGACAGATTTTTCAGAGGATTGTTACAAAACCACTGCTCAGGGTTAAGAGATATTGCTCATAAATATTACTAATGAACCTCTTCTTCATTAAATGTTTGATTAATATCCTGTCTGAAAAATAAAGGGAAGCAGTGACAGTGTCCCAGCAGCATCACGAGTTGCAATTTGCAGGAACATCAGCAGTTACACTTCACTTCCCCACTAATGACAAGGGGTTCAGCTGAGCCACCTCTGGGATGAGTTACAGGAACAGGAGGAACCGATTTCCCCCACTGCCCACCCCATTGCTTAAGGGAAAGGGGGCCTGGGGGTTTTTGCCTTGCTCTATGCTCTGTTCAAGGTTTGACAATGTCATGACCCTGTACAAGAGAAACAAAAGCTTATTTCCCCCTATCAGTCAGTGTAGATGCTCTTTCTAGTACTGTAATTAAGCTTTCAGCAGTATAGCCTTGTAATTACTTCTTTTTTTGGCTAAAGGTTTTCCTTTAACTCCAAAAGAGTAAACTGCACCTCTGTACCCGCTCCTCTTTGCATTTACTGTGTTGGGAAATTTTGGACATTTGTCTGTGACACAGAGCTCAGGCACAAAAACCATCAGTGCTTCAAAAGTGCTGTAACAGACAAGAATTATAGTAGAGTCAGACAATTAAATCACACAATGGTTGGGTTGGAAGGGACCTTAAAGATCATCCAGTTCCAATTCCCCTGCCATGGGCAGGGACATCTTTCACTGGACCAGGTTGCTCAGAGTCTGGTCCAGCCTGGCCTTGAACAATTCCAGGGATGGGGCAGCCACAGCTGCTCTGGACAACCTGTGCCAGTGCCTCAACACCCTCACAGTACAGAATTTCTTCCTAATATCTGATCTAAACCTACTCTCAGTTTGAAGCCATTCCCCCTTGTCTGTCACTCTGTGCTCCTGTAAATAGTCTCTCTCCATCTTTCTTGAATCTGCCCCTTTGATGCTGCCAATAACCTTTGACTCAGCTTTCTGTATATACAAAGATGTGTGTTTGTAGAGATTAATGAGAATATGTGTGACAGCCTTCTGTCCCCTGAGATAAAATGGCATTTATGCCTCTTCCTAACATGTTGCTTTGAGATGTCAGTTCATACTCATTCCATGACATCCATCTTTGCACATTTGAGATGCCTTCCCTGAGTGTAACAAGCCCGTCTCATATTTTCTCTGAACTCAAAATGTCATTATTACCTTGAAGGCCAAATAAGTGAGGTCACTGAGTTCACAGCTGGAAAACATCCTTTCCTCTACAGATGAGAATATTGCTATTTATATCTGCTTCCAAAAGATAGCTGAACTTCACTGACAGCCACTGCTGCCCAAACTCTTACCTTTTCATTCCAGTACAATTAAGATGGTGGGAGTACAGTGAACACTGAAGTAAATAAAAATTCAACTTTTATAAAATATGTACTCTCCACTGACCTCTGGAAAGGGCAACGCTTGCTTTCTGATAGCATTGTGTAATAATTACTAGCAAGTTTGGACATTGTGTCAGTAACTATACAATATTTGCTGCAGAAAACACAAACCACTTGTTTTTTTCCTTCCACAAGTTTTGCTCAAACCGTTTCCTTGTTATGAAAGGTGGAATGAACAAATATGCTGGGGGTGATTCCCATCTGCCTTCTATTTTTGTTCTTCCTGTTTCACTTTGATTTCTGTCTTTTTAATGGCACTAATGGACTGTAAGGAAGTGGTTTTAAATAGTCATTTTTGCTGGGCACTTTTAAAGCACACTTTCTATTGCATGTAGGACTTCCTTTAAAATGGGCAATGTAGTGTAATTATGAACTATTTAAATTTAACTTGGATACTTGAGTATTTTTTCTTTATTCATCAGTTTTTTTGTTTTATAAAATGGATCTAAAGTTCATTTTTCTAAGTGCTAAAATTGTGTTTGTGTAGTGTTAAAACTGCTTCATTAGGCTTTTCAGCTCTTTCAGAAAAAGATATCAAATGAAGCAACAGCAGAAAAAGAAAGTTAGAAAACTTTCCAAATGCCTATTTCTAAGTTGAAACAGCTAAAAATCTGTTCTTAAATGCTGCTGATATTACAAGTTCATCCAAGCCTGAAACATAAATCTATATTACTATCATTTTCATTATCCACTGAAATTCTAGACTCTATGTAATTTTTATACTGAGATCTCCTTACATGCATGTGTGTGAAATTCCTTGTAGGACAGAAAGGTAAATTACCAATTAGAAACAGAAACCTTGGAAAAGAGCTTTGCAATTAAGACATCATAAGAAGTTGAGTGATAGAGAGCTTAAGTATGCCAAAGTCACATGAAACCTGTGTGAGGACAACTTGTTGCAAGCACCACTGAGAGCTTCTTGACTCTCAGAGCCTCTATTGGTCCATCACTGCCATCAAAAACCGCTGCTCAGTGACAGAAGTCCCCATACTCATGTTTGAAGGGGGCTTTAAATAAAGATTCAGTAGTTATCAGATATTTTGTGATAAGTGCAAATACTCACCCAGCACCATGGATGACAAGGCCAATAAAGAAGACGACAAAGAGATGGTGGGTGTACCAAAATACTTCAAAATATGACCTCCGGATGGTTTTGGTGGATGAGGTGATGATGAGGATGAGGGCCAGTGTGATGACAACCCCAGTGATGCCAGCCAAGTATGTGAAAGCCACATAGAGGCCCCCAACGGGATTCTGTGAAACAATTGCACACCTTGATCTAAGGAAAGTGTTGCACCAAAGCAGAGCCAGTTGAACCATCCCTCACCAAACCCTTTACTTTGTTATAAGTCCTTAAGTCATCTGATGCCAAAATCCCAGCTCATTTTTGTTGCACTGCACATTTACCTTTACTAAGGTAATTGGAAGTAGAGAGAATGTGTTTCCCATGAATTAACACACCAAACATGGTTTCTTACTCTGCAATGGCTCAGCAAGACTGCTTTGGGGAAGGTGAATACATTTGCACAGCTCTGGTATTCAGAGCTGGAGTCCTACATCCATATTTCAGGAGCTAAATAAAAACTCTCCTCTGTTGTTGCACAGCTATGGGACTCATAACTCATGCAGAGTTTGGAGGTTCAGTGCTCTTCTGAGAAGTAGGGAAGTACTTTCTTTTCTTTTTCCCCACTGACCAGAGCTTAAACCACCCAACTTCAAAACTCTTGCCTTTATTTCTGTGTACCTTTCTGAGTGCCATGTCTAAGTCAGAACACTGCCTTACAGGGTTTTTGCATAACGTTTTAGATTTTGAAATCCTCAAGTGGAAAATTTTAAAGTACTACCAAAGTTCAGCAACAACCAAAGCTCAGCAGCAATATTACTGGGAAATATAGAAGAATGGATTCTACAAGGTTTTTCTGCAAGATGGCCCAAACCCAGTCTGTGGACACCAGAAACAGGCACTCTGCTCAAATGGTTTGATATGATCACCTGCACAAATGTAATGATGACCCTTGGGAGTCTGATGTCACTTACAGCAATGGTTTGCCTGAAGAAGTTGACATAGCTTTCCTTTGGTTTGTCTCCAAGGCCAGAAAGCACAGCTGCCAGGGTGCCCTTCTCTTCAACACGGGCTTGCACACTCCACTCCACGTTGAATAAGTGTGCAATGGTGTGAATTGCTAGGAGTGACAGGAAAGGAATAATCAGCACTGACCACAAGTACTTGGTGTTTTGAGGGAACACCTAAAACTTTGTCACATTTGTCAACTGCTGTTTAAGAGCTCTGCTGTTCTTGCCATCTTCACCACAATTGTGGATCACTGATGTGTTTTACTGTTAAAATTTTAACCACCTGAATTTTACAGTTTTTGGGAGAGGGAGGGAAAGAAGCGAAGGGAAATTCTCAGTATATTTTTGTTCAACAAAGGCTTTCAACAATTCAAGTAGTAGTACCCCAACATATGGGATACTAAAACATGGAATGGCTTAAGCTATTTGTCAGGATCATCCTCATCCACAACTTCTGTAAAAGAGCCAAGAACTGAATCTGGATTTATTTGGGGTCACATTTGTTAGTGCTTTTTTGTTCTGCAGTTTTGCTAATAATCATTAGTAATATTCTTGCTGAGCTGAATGCAACCAAAAACCTAAACCAGCTGAGATGTTCACATGAATTCCAGTTTATGTTTTTGTAGGGTAAAACTGTACAATGCTTTTCAAAATTTGAACCACCTCCTATAAGCAAGTACTTATTTATCTTCAAAACAGGTCCAAGCTTTTTATATCCTTTTTAAAAAAGAATTTCTATTATTTATTTCAGACATGCCAAATAAGAAGTCTAAACAAGAATTAAATCCAGCGTATCCAGTTCTCAGGACATTGCTAAACACCCTTTATTAAACTATCATAAATAGTACTGACAGTTCAAAATAAAGGTATTCTTTCTTATCTTTTGCTCTCTGACAGCTGGCACGTATCTGGAAACTGATTTAAGCCTTGGCACACACTGACTCCTTTAATGAAATCCGGTCTCTGCCCATATTCTTAAGAACTTGAATGCCACCTGGATTCCACGTAAAATACACAGAAAAGCAATAAACAAAGAAACATTAGAGCACCAACCAGTGTGAAGGGCAATCATCCAGGCCACCATTTTGTGAAAGGTGAGGTTTCTGTCCAGCTGCCGCCTGATACGGGTAGAGCAGCACTTTGGGTAGAAAGAAAAAGGTGTTTGAAAAGGTATTTGTGTTGTCTGTGCACACTTTTTAAAGGCAGGGACAAAAAGAGAATCCCTGAGCATATTGGTGACATTGCTAGGAAAAATTTAGAATTCCAGAATATAGACAAAAATATTTCCCCTCATCTTTCAGAAAACAGGAATTCCAGATTATGTTTTAACACGTCCCCCCAAAACATAGCATTTTATAAGGAGAAAAAATTTAACATCCAGTGTGGCAATGGAATACATCTTATCTGTTTTAAATGGTACATTATAAACAAAATGAGGGATCACAGTCTGCCATGGCAGAGTGAATGCTTTGGTAGCACCAGGATCCTATTGTGGTTCACAATCTAGAAACAAGCTGCAAAGTTTGGGTGTAACTGTCTCAGGGAGATCCCACCCCAAATCATATCACCTATGGCAGGGATATGAAGGCATTCCTTCCCCAAAATATTGAGTTTACTTCCCAGGTGTTCACTTACAACTTGATTTTGGAGTTACCCAAAAAAAACCCAGCAAAAATCTCTGCAGATACAAACCAAAGAAATTAATTCTCAAGAAAAACAGAATAACATTTTTGTTACTAATGATGATGGGTTCCTAACAGACCCCATATGAACTCTGCTGCAGTCACTGGGAGTTCTCCTAAAACCTTAAGTCCCTGTAAAGCTGACATTTGCTGTCTCCACACAGTAGAAGGCATGACTGTCATGTGCTGTATGTTTGCATTGTGTTTGCTGACCGGATAAGGGAACAAAACACTATGCAAACTACCACAAGTATTTCCTCACAAGAGACAAACACTGGGGCTGCCAGAATCACTTCAGACTATAATAACAACCAGGAGAAATGTGGTCTTTTTGTATCACCTATATTGAGAAACAATAAAAAAAATTGTAGAATGAACTGTAGCATAGTGAGGCAGAGCTTGACTCCCCTGCAAAAACCACTTGATCCTAGAAGGGAAAGCCAAGCAATGGCAGAGGACTCCAGATGCCTTCAGTCATGTGGCTCATTAGCAACAGTTAATACAGCAATGATGGGCATGCAAAACACAACACAGCTATCTTTTCAATTAAAAAGGTGTAAATTTATTACAAATAACTTTGTAACACGTGATTTCTGGGTGGCAGGATGGAAGAGGGCAAGACTTTTCTGTACACTCCCTTTGAACGCTGTGTTTGAACAATTCTTTCTTCTACTTGACACACCATGACATTGCTGTTGGGAAGGTCACTATTCTTCCAATAAGTTATTTGACATTTAAATGATTTTTCTTATAGACCCTCACAGTAGTTACCTGCAGAGCATAGCTAATTAGAGACAACAGCACAACGAGCATAAGCAGCTGTCCCCCTATGCCAAGGCCACCACAGCACTGCCACTGCCAGTGGCTCACTGGGTTGTGTGTGTTTTTGCTTAAGATCTAAAATTACATCCTTCCTGAGTTGTAGCTTTACTGCAAAAAAGCAACTGGAGCTAAACAAACACCAGCTGTCTAAGAGTCCTATTCTATGCCCCTCCCTGCCCTACTTGCTCACCCTCAGAGCCTTTTGCTTCCTCATTCCCAGCTATCAGCAGGACAGCGAGCTGCCAGCAGGAATGGAACTGTATCTCCCTGCCTGGACTCACTTTTATCTGGGTGTAGCCTGTAGCCTGAGTGCGTCTGCCACAGTGCCCAAGGCAGAAGGACTGACTCTGTACTTTGAATCTGTCCCCTACAAAGAGGGACAGATCTTGGTTAGAAAAGATCCCAAGACCTTGGTTAGAAAGTTAGGTTATGCATGCTAGGAGAGGAGCAGTTCAGGACAAGTAGCACAAAGTCCCAGCTGGAATACAATTCTCAACACCCAGAATCAGGTTTTGGCCTTCCAGTAGTCTCCATATGTATGCTCTGCTCTTTCACTGCTTAGAGCTCAGAAGACCTCTGCCCAGCTTGCTTTCACCAAACTCAAAAATGTCTTATATGATCATGGGCTCATCATTATTTTCCAGATGCATTCACCCATAGCAACATTAGTCCTTTCTACATTTATGTTCATTATTGACTTCTGCAGCCAGAGGAGTCAGCTCTGGATTTTGGCTGATACTTGCTGATCTGCCTGGAGAATAACAACTTTAACCCTACAGCTTCATTTACTATCCTTTCTCCTTTTACATGAATGGAGGGTATGGCTGGCTGTTTTGTAGCATCTCAGGATCTGAAGGAGTATTGGAAAAGACTGGAAGCCTAACATGTATTTCCAATTTTATATTCCTAATGTTATTCCTTAGAAAGGCTAGAGCACTGGCCTTGCTCATTAATGTAATTTAAGAGTTTAATGTGGCAGGCACATCTCATTTATTCAGCCACACTCATTGTGGGGATGCATGTACTAGATGGAAGTACAGCCTATTTTGTCTCTGGTTATTTTCTTATTGCTTCATATCCCACTTTCTTCCCTTAAGAAGGACTGTTGAAACACTGCATCTATTTTATCACTTCCTCTTCTGCTCTGCCTTTTCAGCCCCTGTAGGCTGTCTCATTTGCATTAAGAAATTTATACTGGGTTTAGAGATGAAAAACAACTTCTGGGAACTGGTTTTGTTGATCGTGTTTATGTTAAAAGTGTCCAGAAAGAAAGGAAGAATCATTATACATTTGGAAGGACAATTAATGAACTTGAGGAGCATATTGCTTTTTCACTGGACCGTGGCCTGCATTGTCTGCATTATTTCTGCTGTAATAGCCAGAAATCAAGATTTTGGCAGTGTGATAGTGACAGTACTATCATAGGAAGACTCTCCAGCTGTCACTTAGGATAAGTTGTCCTTTTCTTAGTGTCAGCTCCTCAGTGCTGTGTAAAAAATTTGTATTTGGGACCTCAAAAAAATCAAAAGGTGTGTGAACTATTTCACTGAGATGGAAATGCAATTCAGACAAGATAAAATGTAATTTATGAGCCAGCTGAAAAAAGTCCCATTCTGAAAGTTTGTAAAAGACTACATTTACCTTAAGGACTGAGCATGCAAAGACAGACAGGGGCTAGTATTTCCCTCTCTAAGTGAGTGTAGCATCAGTGACAAATAGTGGATGTGTGTGAACTCCAACAGCTTCTGCCAGCCAAAAGAGGGACTTTGCATCCAGGGCAGGACCGTGCCCAGGAGGCAGCTGAAAGGGGAAGACTCAAAGGAGACTAATTCAAAGCTAAACTCTCAACAGAGCTCTAGATATCCCATGGGCATTACACCTCAATCTTGCTCATAGCCAAACCCCAGCTTATCTGCTTCTCATAAAAGGACATCCTCAAAATACAACATATTTGGGGAACTTGGACACGGTTTCTCGGTATATTTGCAAGTCTGTTTAGGTATGAAAGATAATATCTTTCATGAATTTTGAAATTCTTTCCTCATCTTACCGCACTCGATCCTCTGAGGAAGGAGAGCAGGTTTCGACATACTGGCAGCAGAATCAGCATGCAATTGAAATTCAGGCAGGCTGCAGGGGCCCTTGCAAGAGCCAGAGCACGCTGTAATTAGAGACATGCTGTTATTAATTGCATTACCTAAGACATTATCCAGGGCATGGACAGGCACAGATTTCATTCATGTATTATATCATAACTGGTAAAGAGTGTGAGATCTAGAGTTCACATTTACACCATGAATATTCAAAGGGATCATTCTCTGGTCAAGGCAGAAACACATGTGCAGGCAGAACACACTCTGCAGACAAACAGACACCTCCTGTTTTCAGTTTTGAATTAAAATGGTTGTATAAAAAGCTGCCTGTCACATTTGGCACTCAACAGGCAAAGACAGGTGCAAATCTAAGCCATTAGTAGAGTTTTGTGTCCCAAGGCTGTAAAGAGTCTGTGGTTTCAGTTGGTGGTGGTTATGGACAGCTTATAAGAGAAGTGGTTTAAGTTCTCTGTCAGTAAAGGAGTCTAGGGAAATTTGTTGCCTCAGCTTTTAGGAATCTGTTTCCTTAATGGTAGTCTTTACACCCTTAATTATTTAATATTTTTGAACTGTTTGAAATGAAGGAAAAATGACCATATTAATCAAAATGCAATGAAGGGAAGAAAAATAATGTTTGCTCTCCTTGCATGGATTGAGACCCTTTTAGGTTTTAGATCACAGCTGTTTGGGTTTACACTGAGCTCTGCTTATCCAAGCACAAGTCTCTGTGACTTCAAAGGCAACTGCATCATGACTGCAAAGCACAGGATTTGATCCACAGACCAGAAGCTGTGTGCAGGATGGGATTTCAGGCTTTGTAGAATTAAACCATGGCTTAGCAAACCTTCAGCAAAATGCTGTGCTCTGTAATCTGAAGCTTAGGCTGATTTTTTATGTCTGTGATCAGGGTTTTAAAATATGTGAACAAATTAATTTTCCCTGTCAATTGGTCATGACCTGTGGTAACTTTGGAAGCAAGTTTGTAGTAGGACTCAATGCAGTTGGATTACATGGAATAGCCCAGGATCCAGGATCACTTCACTACCTGATTACCACTCACATTCTTGATGAATATATGAATGATGATTGCTTTTCAGAGCCAATATCTTTATAAACTATTCATGCTCTGAAAAATAATTGCAAGGAGAAATGACTGCACAACAGTTCAGTGGCAATATTTTATTCAGCTTTTGCTTAATAAAGTAGCCACAATCAATGCTTAATTTAATTACCAGGAACATAATTGTTAACTGAAAACATCTTTAGAATGGGATTTCTCTATTTTGTGCACCAGCTTTCTGTTCAGAAGCACTGAACATCTGCCTGCATTCAGTTATCTGCTTGCATGTGACTTCTACATGATCCTGCTCCTCCAGCCACTAGATCCAGTTTTGATCAGCTAAAACTATCAAAAACTGCTATGTGCTCTGTCTCTGCCAAAAGAATAAGGTCTTGTACTTACGCCAAGGAGCACTCTGGTGTAGAAGAATTTTGGTGGGACATCATACACAAGATAGTACCACCAAAAGAGGAAGACATTTAAGCCCAGCCACACAAGCTGAAAGAGAATTAAACAGGAAGCTTACAGTTTGTTGTTAGAAATAATCCATCTGAATTTACACAGTTCAGATAACAGTCAGTTACTTCCCTGTGCTCCTGTTTGTGCAGAGGGATGTACTGCAGGGTATAAAGTTTTCAGCAAGGATGATAGAAATCTTTCTGGCCTAAACAGGCTCTGATTTGTAACCATAGGGTACAGGAATGGCAATAGACCAAAACACAGCAATGTGCAGCTGAAATGTTTTCATGGGTCAAGGAGTTTAGGGTTGGTTGTATCAGGACTGTCATATTACAATTGTTTAATTCTGAGTCCAGTTAAATCTCTAAATACCATGGAAGGTTAGGGACTCTTCCAAATGGCAGTTCCACAGGTATGTGAGAGGAAGTCCTGGAAGCTGTGACAAAGAAGCTTGAGATCTAAATTTAGATGGGCTAAATTACACATAGGGCTGAATTCAAGAAGAGGGTCTGAAGTCAGCCAGCAGGGAATATTCAAAACAGGCCCTCTGGTAGCATGTAGGGTACCTCAAACCAGGCTTCTTTGTAGCTGTACTGCAGAATTTTCTCACACTTACACATCTTGAGATGCAGGTTTTTAGGGAAAGACAGCTCTTAGGCAGCTACAAGTCCATCTGGCAAAAAAGGTCATAATGAATCTGCATATTTGCCCTCCTGGAGCTTGCTGACTGATCTCACATCCCATATTGAAACATATCTGTATCACTGCACTCAGTCTAGGTAGTTCTACTAAGTGGTGCATGAAAACAGAAAGTCTGAGAACTGTGAGAAAGCCCAGAAAAGGTGACTACACCCCCTCACCCCTCCTAACCCATATATTTTGCTAATTTTTTGGCTCAAATAACACTGTAAAAAAACCTTGGGTTTATTACAGGTCCTGAAAATGTAAATAAATACTGGGAAATGAAGGGATTTCGATCAGGGTAAGGCAGTATATAGGAAATCCCCAAGTCCTCATTAAAACACCAAGTTCATCTCAGGATTAAGTGCTTAGGACACTTTTTGAAAATGACAGTGGCACACTCTGCAGCGTGTTTCTGTTTTGTTGAGGTACCTCAGTAGGAATTGTGTCTGTCCTGTTTTTGTCAAGCACTGGACAGCCCTGTGCCTGCTCAGTGTTCAGTAAAGATGTAGAGGCTAAAGCAGAACACTTGGGTAGGGTTTCCAGTGATCTGTCCTTTCAGCTGTTTTCTTTATAAATATGTCTGTTAATTTCCTTCCCTATTACCCTCACCTTGTTATAGCTTTGAGGTTCAAAAACCAAATTCCTTATTTGAGCAAAATAAAGGCCTCTTACTTAATTATTTTAATATTTCAGTTCTGGTGGGGGAAAAAAAAAAAAGAAAAAAAAGCCAGAATTAACCTCTTGTCAATTTCAACTTCCTCAAGTCACTGAAGGTGACAGCACACACTGTCATTCCCTTTCAAAGCACTGAAGTACCACAGCTATGGAATTATGTTCCTAAATTACAAGGTCATATGCAAGTACTGACTGCTCATAGCAGCACAAATACTTCTTGGAATAAAGATGCTCACATTTCAGTCACCAAAAATATACAAATTCTATGCCTTCGTTTTCTTCCTCTCAGTATTTACATCTACTTACAAAAGGTAGCAACAATACCTTTTGCAATACCAACTGCTCTTACATTTTGGTTTTGTATATGTTTTTAATACATATATGTATATGTATATAACATATGTATAGAGGTATACCTATACGTATATGTATATAATATATGTATAGAGGTATACCTTTAGCCCTTGTGTCACAATGTGAAGTAAAAAAAACCCCACTAGAATACAAACTTAGTTTTCTCCAAGGAGGACTGCTCTGCTTACTCTTTAGCTCTTGTAAATGCAACTGGGATTTTCCATACTGTTAAATCTTGCTCAGAATTAATTTGAACTACTTTCATAGCCCCTCTATGCAAACTGTAAATAAATTCAATTGAAATAGTAGTTGTCTTAATAAAGGATTCATGAATCTCTGTTCTAAATCTCTGCTCACTTCTCCCTTGAATCTGACATTAATAAATATTTTATACCATCAAGACACTGCTTTCATTTAGACACACTTCTGCTCATAAAAGTGCAAGAAAGGATGATTGTTTTATTTGCTTTCTCTGTTGAAGTGCACATAGTTAAGTGAGCTTTAAAGCTGTTTTGCTTAACTAAAGTATTTCTAACAAAGCAAAGTTAATACATGATCATTTCTCAGTTAACAATGAAGCCTACAGCAACTGAAATACCAGAGAGCTCCTTAAAAATTATTCCCTTGAAGCATTACCCTGCATTTGCTGCCCCAGTTTCAGCATAATCAGGTGCATCTTCCACTGGCACAGTGAGAACTGCTCAGCACAGCTTTCTGCAGAACTTTTCACTGGACACAAATCACAACAAAAATTGTACTTACAACGACGAAGATGGACAGTCCTTCATTCTCCACCCAGTTCCCCATGGCTGCCTGAGATGTGTGTGCACAGCAGCCCTGCTCTCTCTGGGACAGCCTCTACGTCTTCTCTCATGAGGAAGTGAGAGCAAAAGGTTGCAGCACCCTGTTTCCTTTCTCATTCATTTGGGAAATAAGTTAACCATTTAATCATGACCCCAGTTCTGTTTCAAATATGTTTCTATCATCTCTACATATAACATTTCATAACTCAAACACATATAAACTGTTGAAATTGACTTTTTCATTGTGATACAAAGGATAGAATAAATTATACAAGTGGTCAGGTCTTCTGCTAAAAAATGTATTGCCACTTTATATAACTTTTAATGCTGAAGTGTAACATTGAAAGCACAGAAGAGTTACCTCTGCAGACCTGTCTCTTTTTAATCACCTCAGGACTGAGATGCAGTTAATTATGATCTTTGTTGATAAATACTCACTATTACTCTTTCTCTCCCAGTAATTCAATATCCACAGAAACTTCAAAGTGTAATTGAACATTCATCTTTGTCTGGTACATTCAAACGTCACTAAATTCCTTCCAAAATTCCTCTCTGTTTTGGCCAAAACTGAGGATAAACGTCACTGGATAGGCTTTTTTTCATGGTTTTGAGTCTCGGAGAATCCACTTTGATGGCCATCCCAAATGAATCACAGAACTGTAGAATGATAGGATGGTTGGGTTGGAATTAACTTGGAAAATCGTTTACTTCCAATCCCCTGCCATGGGCAAGGAGGCTACCCACTAAAAGGCTGATCAGGGCCCCAACCAACCTCACCTCGGATGCTTTCAGGGATGGGGTAACATTTCCAAGGATGCTGGATGTGATCAGAGGGTCTGGTTCCCATATTTTTGTTTATGGAGGTGGCCTCTGGAAGTTAAACAGCAGGGAAGGAAAGGAGGGGGGCAGTTCTGATTTGTGGATGTCCATTCTTGCAGTGAAGACAAGCCTTCTCTCTCTGACCAGAAATGGCAGTTCTCACTGCCTTTTTCTTCTGCCTAGCTCAGGGTGAGTTACTTGTGCCTTCTCTGGGGAGAGCCAGTGCAGGTTTCCAGGATGCTCTGAGCTTCAGCAGCTTTACTTTGCCTGGAAGTTCCTCAGGCACCACAGCCCCTGAAACATGGATTTATTGGCTCAGGAGGTTTCTGGCAGGCTACAAACCCAGAAGGGGCTGATCTTGGATCAGTCACAACAGTTGCAAAGTCTGAGGTCCTTCTGACAGCCTGAACACAGATCATGAAACAGAGTATATTTCAGCTGCCTTCAGCCTAGCAATTATTAAGTGCAGTAGCTGATTTCAAAAGAAATGCCTGAACTCAAAAGAAAGGGCAGAGGTGCTGGGCCCTTCCACAGCCAGTGCTGTTGTGCTGCTCCCTGATGCCTGTGAGTTGTGCTGTTACCTCTGAAAGTGACATGACAAGCACAGCAAACTTTGCCTGTTGTTGCAAGTGACAAATTTGAGTAGAAATGATACCAAAACCACCCACTCATCACCCCTCATTTAATTCTGATTGTTTCACCTACTAAATGAATGAAATATTTTTGATATTACAAAAATCTGAATGTTTTATACTTTGTACTTATTTGGAAAATGCATCCTGTACAAGAAAAAAACCATGTTGTCAGCTGTTTATTAATTATGTAGGAAAGTAAAACTGAAGTATGGAAAAAATTCAGTGCTATCTCACTCTGTTTATAAAATTTGTTTCAAGCTACTTGATTACACAAAGCATTTTTCATCCTTCTTAGTGCTCAAAAGTTCAGTCAACACCAATCCTTTTTCAGCATGAAGTATTGTAAAAGTATTCATGTCTCAGGGTTCTTCCTTTCCTCGCAGTAATTTTTTACCTCACAGTAATTTTTTACCTCATTGCTTAGGAATTAATTTAGCTCCTCTCTTGCTCTGCACAATAATGGTCTGTGTATTGCTGCACAAATTTAATGCCAGGTGCTGGCAATCAGCCTAGGGGTTTCACACTGTCCCTAAAAGGGACAATGAAAAATTCTGCCAGTAAAAACCCCCAAAGAGAGAGTGATGTGAAGAACAGAGTGAGAGATCCAGCTCCTCCTTCTTGTGCAGCAGGGGGAAAGCCAAGCAGAGACCTTGATTAACCTCTTCAATTTTGTAGCCTGAAGTCTTTATTTTGAATGCTGTGCAATCACTGTTTATCAACCTTCCCTTGATCCTACACCAAAGAGAAGAAGCAAACAAGGGACTTGTCAAGCTGTCCTCTCTGAAAAGACTCTTCACATGCAGCCTGAGGCTGTTACTCTGTGCGCCTGCCTTCACCCCAGGGAATGACACAGCCTGAAACTTCTGCTCTTTCTGTTTTGTTTACAAAATAAGTGATTCCAAGCTGAGAGAGCAGAAAAGGGGATAGACATGAGCCAGGGAAAAACATGTCAATGAGACTCCAATGACTGGCAGATCCTTCTAGGTCCTTGCTTTACACTAACTCCCAATGCAATTCCCTGCTCCAGTACTTCCCCACACTGTCCTTTGCAATCATCATGAGAGACCCATGTGCTGTATTAAAAAAAATCCATGTCTGGTCCAGATGCTGCTTGCCACACCAGTCTTGGCTTGAAGTCAAGCAGCACCACCACAAAATGTACCAGAATGGCTGCACACTGCTGTGTTATTGGAAGGAAGAGACACCACCAGCAGCATGTCCTAAGTACAGACAGAAATTTCATCTCAGTAAGCAGTCAGTGGTTTCCAGGAAGAGATGCAACAGCATCACCTCCCATGTATAAAGGCAGAGGCAAAACTAACCTGCCTTTGCATAGGACTGAGGGAGAGGGAGCCCAGATGGCATCCTTTGGGCAGGGTACCAGCTTTATCATCTGCTAATGTCGCTCTGGAACACAACCATCACCTGTTTGAGAGACTTCTCTTCCCAGGGCTGCAGATCCACTTCGTTTACACGTGCCGCTGATAGCCGAGGGTAACTTTTCTCTGCCTGGAGAGAGGGACTCCACCAGCGATTTCCCGCTCAAGAAAACACCTCGAAAGACGTGAGAAGAGGGACGGCAGTCTCTCCTGTGCCCGAATCACCCGGGTCGGTGGTTCAGCAGCCCCGCGGTGCCACCCGCAGGCAGCGCCGGCCCGCGCCGCTCCCGGGGAAGGAGCTGGAATCCCGCTCATCCGTCCCGAACCTTCCCTCTGCATGCCCCTGCCCTCGTGTCTCCTTTACTGCTGCATCCCTGCTCAAAACCACCTTCCTGCTTTTCCCTCTCTTTCAGTGCTGGGCTATCAAATCCCATTTCTAATTAGCAGCTCCTGATCACAGTTTGGGAAAGGACTTCCAGAGCTCCTTGGCTCACTTTGTTCTTCCCAACAGGACCTGCTGCAGCTGTGTTACTCCTGACACACGTTTGCACCCCAATTCCACAACCAGAAATCAAAGAAGTGCCTCCCAGCCTGCTAGCTCATGCCCATGGTATCAGTATAACTCCACATCCACAGAAGTATTCCAGCATCCCCCTTCACAGCCAGGAACAGCCCCCAGGTGTGAACACCTCAGTGCCCAAACCCTGCAACACAGAGCAACACTACAGGTCTTTATAATGCTGCAGTTTGTCTTGTGAAATACAAAGGAGTGCTGTGATAATTCTTTTGCTGATTTTTCTCCCTCCCAATCCTCAGTGTGGATGTGTGGGGGTGACCCAGCTCTGTCAGCAGATGACTGTCCACAACCGGACACCTGAAAGACACAGCCTTGGTTTTATGCCCATTTTCAGTAATATCAACAGAGGAAACACTGAGGAATGATGTCATATTTAATGGATGTGTCTAAGCAAGATAACATGATACAATAAATTATGGCACCAAGGATGAGGCTTTTGCTTTAAAATTATCTTCCAGCTAGATTACTAAAAGACAGTTCATCCTTGTGCCAAGATTCAGCATGAAGCCTATATGCTGCTAAATCATACCTAAATTGCCTCTTGTTATAGAATTACACTGCTCCAGCCATACAATTGCTGAATTTATATGTTTCCCTTCCTTCATTTGTCTTGATAAAGCTTTTTTACTTCAGGATTTTCCCTGAAAACTTGGACACTTGCCTGAGACTATCTCACAAACCCCTATCTGGCTTAAGTTACACTCAAGAGAAGTTTGGAAGCACCCATCCATCTCTCTGGGATCAGTGAAGACACAAGTGTCTGATAATTTGTGTGTCCATATTTTAGGTTTTGAACTGGAATGAATTTCTTCCAGGTTAAATTACCACTGGATGAGTTGTTACTAAAGCCTCCTGTTGTAAGACTGTTTACAGCAGTTTATTCATATACACAACCCCCTCCCTCCTAGCATATTTAGCACTTCCAGAGAAATCACTATGAAAAACAAAACTTCAATGAGTGGGTTAGATTAAGGACTACAGTTTCCACAATATTATTTATTCATTTGATTTCTTGTATTTATGATTTCTTAAGTTTTGATTATTTAATCATATTCTGCTATTTTCACTGCTCAGGCTTTCAGGGGAGCAGCAAAAGGCTGGAGGTACCTCATTTCTTTCTCAACTGGATTTAGAGATCCTCTCAGTCCTGTGCCAAAGCTCGAGAAGCTGTGTCCACCTTGATCAAAATCACATCTGTTGACTGCTAATTACAGTGACTTATGACACTTTCTTTTGTATTAAGGGACACAATCTCGTCTCACTGAGACTTTTGCTACCTGGCAGGGAGAATCTGCCAAATCGTACTCCAATCCTGTGTCAGTATTTTCTCTCCCCATACAAATACACTCCCACACATGTTAAAATTTAATTTAGTTTTCTATTACACTAGAACTTCTTTTGAATGAGTGAAACACTTAAGACTATAAACAGTTTGTTGTTTTTAATTTTAGATCTCCCACTAGTAAAACTCCTCTTTCCCTGGTGATTTTTTTTTTCTTGCTTGAAGAGACAACTGCTGTTGTGCCCTGGGAAGAACAGTGATGTATGGGTTATTAAGGCAGCAGCTTAAACACATAAGCCCTTGACTGCTAAAGGACACTGTAGGGCAGGTGATCAATGGTTGATGGCTAATGGATTCCTGCTTGGTGCCCCTGGGGGCTTCCACTGCATTTTGGGCCAATGGTAAATTTTGGTGAAGAGTCAGCTGTCACTGGCTTCTGAGCTGTTTGATGAGTTAATGCTACAGCACTCTGCAGCCCTCCCTGAATTTGCCTTACCATCAATCCTCATGGCACAACACCCACATCCTTGCTGAGGCCCATAGTTCACGGCTAGGCAGAAGTAATTTTTCACTTATTACATTCCTTGCCTATTCTCACCTGTCTCCTGTAAAGTTTTCCCTTTTCCTCTCCTTTGAATCTGAAGAAGTTTGGTTCATTTCTGATCCACACACCATGAACAAGGCTTAGCACAGCCAGTGTCCCAGGTTTCTCCAATCAATTAGCTTTTATCTTTCTGTGAAGAACACAAAGGCTTTTTCAGTACATCCTATCTTTTCAGCTGATGAAGACAACAGGATCAAAGCAGGAATCATCCAGATACCCAGTGGTTAAAAAAACTACCTGACATATTGCATGGTCCATTGCTTTTGTTCCCATGCATAAAGAAGGTGGAATTGTGTAAGCAAACTGCACATAAAATGTCAGTGGTAACATTTCTATTCTGACCATTAGCATTTTGCCTATTTGTGTTCAGATGCAGAATCAGACTAATGTGTGTACTACAAAACATTTCATACATAAAATACACATATAATTACACATTTATATATATATATGTATTACATATATACAAATACATATCATTTACATATAATTACGACTGCTGGTATTAAAGTAGTTGAACAAAAAAGATAGATAATGATTTTTTTTAGCATGATGCTATGTCCTAGATCAGAATGGCCTTCACAGTTTCTGCCTCACTGTTCCTGGATTTCTTTCTGGGGTTTTCACTATGCCTCTTCAAGAGCATCAGCGGGGAAATCTAGGCTTCCCCTCAATGCAACATTTTTGTCAGTTGCCACACACATTTCCATAGGTTTGCAGTAACACTTAATTTTTTTTTC